AAAAGTAGAATAGAAGCTAGAGTTATTAGGTCTAATCTGAATCATACTGGATGACTCTGCTCTTTTGAGACTGTAAATGGAAGTGGAGAGGAAAGTGAAGTTAGGTTCCTTCTTCAAACTCATACCAAAAAAATTCCAGATGGACTACGGATTAAAATATCAAATCATGCATATTAATATAAATAAAATATGAATATACAGGCGACAAACCTTAAAACAAAGAGGGACTTTGGAAACATGATGGCAAAGTCATGAATTAAAAACACAGAATATTTTACCCTTTTCACGAAGATGGCACCAAAACGACAGAAGGAAGCCCCTGCCCCTCCCTGAGCCAAAGCAAAGGCTTTGAAGGCAAATAAAGCAGAGCTAAAAGATATCCACGGCCACAAAAAAGAAGATCTGCACGTCACCCACCTTCCAAAGGCCCAACACACTGTGGCTCCAAAGGCAGCCTAAATATCCTTGGAAAAGCGCCCCCAGGCGGAACAAGCTTGACCGCTATGCCGTCAGCAAGTTCCCCGATTACGTCAGCCATGGAGAAGATAGAAGACCGCAGTACATGTATGTTCATTGTGAACGTCAAGATCAAACAGGCTGTGAAGAAGCTCTATGACAGGTCGGCAAACTTTTGAGACGGAAGAGCCACCGGTGGTCAGCAAACTGCGGCTCTTGAGCCACATGCGGCTCTTTGGGTACATGTGGCTCTGAAGTAAAATTGAAAATTAAAATAAAACTATCATTAGTTTCATTTATAATATTTTTAAAGGCTATTATTCACATAATGGTGATTATGTAAAAATATATTTATGGCTCTCGAATAATTTTTAAATTGTTGTGAGAGACAGGATTGCCTCTTCCAGGGGTCGGCAAACTTTTGAGATGGAACCAAAGAGCTGCATGTGGCTTGCGAGCTACAGTTTGCCGACCCCTGCTCTCTGACTGGGATGCTTTGGATGTTGCCAAAAAATTAGGATCATCTAAACTGAGTCCAGCTGGCTAATTCTAAATATAAATTTTTTCACTGTAAAAAAAACCAAAAACCCACAGAATATTTGTATAGTAAAAGCTAAAATTTCTGTATATCAAAACACACCATAAGTAAAATTATGAGAGGAAAAACTGGGAGGGGTGGAATAAGTGGTTGGCAGATTGTATGAGTAATAAAAATGCATGTCTTTAATACCTTAAGAGTGTATAAAACAAGAAAAATACAGACACCCTAGTTATTTTTAATAAGACTAAAGAAGAACATGAAAAAGATTTAACATCACTGTAATTTAGAAACTGAAAATAAAATCAGTGAGATGCTATTTCTATTACCATAAAATTAACAATGATAAAAAAAAAAATTAAGACAGGCCATAAAGTGTTGGTGAGGGTAAAGAAATAAGCACTCAAAGGAATATAAAATTGTACAAATTTCTTGGAAAGGAATTTAGTAGCATGTATCAGAGGCTTAAAGATGGCCATGTCCTTTAATTCAGCAGTTTCATTTCTGTGTATTTAACCTAAGTGAATAATTACAGATTGCTGATGAAATTTCAGCACTGTTTATAATAGAATTTAGAAATAAATCTCTGCAGCATTCTGTCTGTCTAGAGGAAGAGGAATCTTCTTCTAATTCACACAGAAGCATCTTTGCTCCTCTTTCCATGCACTGGGGCTGCTACCAGAGCTGAGGGGATTGCCTTTGTCAGCTTAGAGGTGTCCTATGGCCTAGCAGCCACCCTGGTACAATACAAGGTCAAGAAATTGAAGTTCCTTTTAGGACTTAAATACCTACAGATTGAGATGAAAAGAGATTTTATTTCTTCTTAATTGCTAGTAAGACTGAACTTTTCCTGTTATTGACTCACTCATTTATTCAATAAATATTGAATGGCTATTAGGTACCAAAGCGTTGTGTTAAGCACTGTGGTTATAGTGGTGAATAAGTCAGATATGATCCCTATTATCCTGGAGGGACACACATGGAAATTAGAAGTCTGACGCATATTACAAAATGGCGATACGTAATTAACAAGTTTGTCAGAAGAACAAACTGCAGAAAGCTTATGCAAAGGCCCTGAGGCATGAAAAGTTTCTAGGAAATGGAGGGATGCCAGTATAGATTGAGTGCGATGACAACTATAATAATTATTTAGTGCTTACTATATCCCAGGCATGGTTTTATATAGTTTTTCCTAGGTCCCCCAAATGTATGTAACTTGCCAAAGTCACATAGTAAGTGAATAAAGCCAGAATTTCAACCCAGGGGGTATGATTTCAGAACTCATTTCCTAACCGCGTGCCACTCTTCTCCCCAGTTAGTGTAAAGATCAAAAAGGTGAAGAGCTGTCAAGCTAAGTCTGGAGAGAGAAAGGAGCTATGCTATAGAGGCCTTGGAAGTCCCACAAAAGTCTTTGGATGTTATCGTAAGGGAAATGGGAAGCATTTGGAGGATGCTCAGTAAAATATGTGAATGCTTTCTTGGGGGCGGGGATTACACTCATGTCCATATTTGTAATTTATTTAAAAATGACTCTGTTGCAAGGGAATGGATTAGAGAAGAACAAGCATGGATAGATGGTCTAGGAAAACGTTTCTACTTCTGCATTCCCTCAGTATGCATGTTCTCAAGGGTATTGATCTCTGTTGAAAATCATGACAGAAATCCCAACTCAAACTGTCCTATAGAAATTTATTGAATCAAATAACTAAAAAGTCCAAGGGTAATCTTAGCATCAGGCATGACCAGATTAAGAACTGAAATTGTTGGCACTGGAACTCAGTTTTTTTTCTGTTGAGTGGGATTTGCTCTCTGTGTGTTGACGTCTTGTTTCAGTCATATATTCCCTTAGCACATGTGCAACTGGAAAAAGGCATGTTTTTTAAGGAACCTCTTTTAAACTCCTGAGGTCACTGTGAGTAAATAAGCTTAAATCATGAGCCTGCCCCTGAACCAATTCCTATGGCCAACAGAATGAGACAACCTTATTGGTTTACACTTTGATGAAGCATTTCAACTCTGGAGTTTGCTTTGAAGCCCTACTGAGACCACATAGATCAACAGGGAAGCAGGGTGAATTCCCCAGATGACAAAAGGAGATTTTGATATTGGGAGACAACAGATTCATTTTTATTACATTTTAGAAAACAATCTTTAATCAGTTATTTTCATCACTTATTTGCTTATTATACTTAGTTGTACAGAATTTTAAAGGTTTTGCCTAAACATATTTGTTCTGCCTCTAGATTCTTAGTTTCCTGAGTAGATTCTTAGTTTCCTGAGTAGACCCTCTCTTTAATTATTTATGTGGTAACTAATACTGGTCTTTATAAGTTTTTTCATGTATTGCATTTGTACATCTAACTCTTATTCATCTGAAAATTTTCTGGTTTGTGGAAGAAAATTCTTCTCCCTGTTGATAAATTTGGGTGTTCCTTCCTTATTGATTGGTATCTAATATTTGTATGTTGCTTTCCAGTTAAAGCCCTGTTCCCATATATCCTTGAACTTAGTTATTATAATAACCCTGTGAGGTAGGTGTTATTACTCCAATTTTACAGACAGACCCAGAACTTCAAACTAGATTTTCTGCTAAGTTCAATCTCTTTCAAGTCTGTTATAGCCCCTTTCCTTACATTCATTCATTCACTAATATAATACACATTTATGGCAAGTCAGATCAACACAAAAAGTAGAGAAGATACAAGCAAGCAATATAGAATAGAGAAAGGGGACATAAATACAATGACAGAGAACATTTTAAAACATGTAAATGAAATGAATACTACATACAGATATGCCAGTGAATTTTTTAAATTAGGAAAAAGATATCTTTATATGAAAATTTAGATATCTAAAATGACTCAAAGTAGTTGAACAACCTTACCAAACTAGTTGCAACCATAAAAGAAATGAAATAGTCCAACACATATCTACAGAGGTAACTGTGCCCAGAGGCATTTAATAGACGAACTTTACTAAATTTTCAAGAAACAAGTAAATATTTCAAAAGCACAAAGAAGATGGTAATCTCCCAGCTCATTTATTAAGGTTGGCATCCTTTTAAAGATACTAACAAGATCAAATGCTACCATTACCAGAATTGTTCAGCATATACATATATATGTGTATATATGTATATGTATATATATATGTCATATACAAATATATGATAAATTTGCATGCAAAAGCAACAGGAAAGCCACCTGTGGGGGGGATAGGATGTGAGGGGAGGAGGGAATTGTGGATCAGAGAGGGGCTGAAGGAGAATGTTCATAGTTTTCTTTGTGATGCCTGTAATTACAATGAGAAATATTCAGGTATTTGTAAATTACCAGTTTTAATTTTTGTAGTTTCAGTAGGCTTGGCAGTTATATAAAAATGAAATTTTTACTTCATAGTATTCTAAGTGATTTAAAGTACTTCATTTACTGATTTTAGTTCTTATATGGTATGGATCTGCTTATTTAACAAATCACCTGTTAGCTCCTAATTTCAAGAGTGTATAAATTCAACTCAACTATTTCGTGAGACATTTTTATGGAAACAGAAATCACAGCTTACTGTATGATACATTTACCAGTTTGTCACTATTGATCTAAATCTGCCACTTTTATAAATAGCAGGAGAACTGGGCTCAAATGAAATATAAGTTATTCAATTTTGAAGAGTAGTTTAAAAACATTTTTATCAAAAAATACTTTGTTCCTCAATCTTTGATATAATCTTTATCTTGTGTGACTTCCTTTTTATAGGTATTTGATTATATGATAGAACCAGGAATTCTTTTGGTTAAACCAGGAGATTGAGGTATATCCATTTATTTACATGGTTGTCATGAAAAAGGAAAATCATCAATAAAGTCTTTTCAAAAAAACAACAGAAGAAGGCCATCATGGTTATTTGAGTGCTTCTTCCAAATCCATCAAGAAAGACCCAGTCAGTAAAATTACAATTAAAGAAAAGACAATGAGGTGAGGCATATTAAAAGTACCCTGTTTACTTACAGATCGGCTGCCTCCAAGAGCTGGTAAGGAAAAGCGAGCAAGGCCTGGGCTCCGCAGAAGGCCTCATTGCTAGTCTTCAGGACTCCCAAGGAAGACTTCAAAATGAGCTTGACTTGACGAAAGGCAGGCTGAAGGAGACCAAGGATGCTCTATTACATGTTGAGGTAATTGCATAATCCTGCTATAATCCAAACATCATCAAAGTGAAAATATAATGTAGTCACTTTGCTTAAATATTGTCGTAAACATCACACTGCATATAATTTGTGTATTAGTTTCCTATGGCTGCCTTAACAAAGTACCTCAAACTGGGTGGATTAAGTCAACAGGAATTGATTCTCTCACTGTTCTAGAAGCTGAAAGTCCAAAACCAAGGTGTTGTCAAGGCCATTCTCTCTCTTAAACCTCTTAAGGGAGGATCCTTCCTTGCTTTTTCCAGCTCATCATAGTCCCAGGCATTCCTTGTATTGTGGCAGCATAATTTTAGTCTCTTACTTTGTCTTCACCTGGCATTCTGCCTGTGTCCTCACATCTTCCTGTAAGGACACCAGTTGTATTGGATTAAGGACTGCCCCTACTCCAGTATGGTCATCGTAACTAATTACATCTACACTGACCCTATTTCCAAATAAGGTCACATTCTGAGGTACTAGGGGGTTAGAACTTCCACATGTTTTGGAGACACAATTCAAACCATAATAATCAGTATGCACAATTCTTTTACTGGTAAGAGTTGGAACTCTCATGTATAGCAACTGAGTGATTCTCTGTGAATACAAATTTCAGAAAGGCTTTTTCTTTCCCCTTCCATTCTCAGGGAACAGAGCAAATATTTAGACTGCCTTAGACAGTAGAGAAAATAATTCATAAATCTAGGTAAATCGTAGCCAGGGAGGTTTTTTGTTTTCTTTCAGAGAGGTGATTTAGAGTGTGGGTTCTGATGCCACATTGGTTGGGTGTGAATTCGGGACCCACCGCTCATTGCATCGCTTTTGGCATGTTCCTTATTCTAAGCCTTGATTTCCTCCATCCAAACAGTGCAGGAGGGGTGGGGAATAATAATATACTTCACACCACTCTTGTAGTAATTAAATGAGATAAAACATTTGCGGCACAGTGCTTAGTAAAATAGAGAGGACTCAATAAAGGTTGCCCTTTATTTAATATTTCAAATTTTATTTTTTTAGCTTAAGATTGATATTTCAAAAGCATGTAAACAAGAAACTTTAGTGGATTTAGCTTGTGTATGATGCATGTATATAAACCTACTTACATTTTATCTAAGATATAATTATATATATAAAACTGAATACTAATTACATTCTATTTTTAAATTCTGTGACAAAATAGATTAGTTGATTTTCTTTCAATCTTCTTTTCCTTCTGTTTACCTGTCCCTAGTGGCTATGTGATATGAGTGTTAATATGTAGCAAGGGATAGGTTGGAATTATAGCTAGTATAATACACAACTTGATATAAATAATTTTGGTGATAATAAGCATATTGATTATAACCTCAATGTTAGCATTCTGTGGCATAAAGCTAACTAAACTGTATTAAGAGGTGCTTTTCTCCATTGTCTAAAAATAACAGGAAAATTATATCTTAAGGTAGTAAATATGATGACAGAAATTATTGGGCATCATGGTGATCATTTTGTAAGGTATATAAATGTTGAATCACTATGTTGTACACCTGAAACTAAGATAACTATACTTTAATAAAAATATTGGGTTGTTGGAAAAGTCATGATGCATTTTTGCAACAAAAAACAGAAAAAAATACGTCATGACTTTTCTGACAACCCAATATAAGATAGTAAAAACTTACTTAAAAATCAACAGTTGAGGTATTTTTAATGAATGTTGCTAGCATATAAATTGTTTTGATATGGTTCTATGTTCCCTCCTTGGGTACACACCTATTTCCTGCCTTCAGAGCATTTTATCCTGGTTGCCTTTCCCCCTCACCTCCCATCCTGGCACTGAAAATTAAACTTATAGATTCATTTTGAGTTTTTTAAGGTCCTTCTCATAGTTACACTATTCTTTCATCAAATAGAACATAATAAAAATTTTAATCAAAACTCTATCACCTGTTCATTTACGGTTCTGCTGGACAGTTTTAATTGAGAAAATATAGGTGCTGTATCATAGTTTACCACAACTTTGGGTAAGTTCCTTAAGAGCAATTTTTTGTTTCTTTGTTTGTTTTTTACCTCTTTTCCCACCCCAATAATGTCTAATACAGTGCTTGGCATTCAGTAAAAGAAATACACTTAAGTAATTCTATTCCATTTAATGCTACCTTTGGTGGAAAACAATAGTTCCTAGAGACAGAGTACTTAGTGAAAAGAACAGTTGGCTAAGATGGCCAAATTCAGCTTTCAGTACTTACTGCTTAATAGCCAGGTCAACAATGTAGAACGGCAATTTCCATATTGACTTGCTTCTTTCCCATTAATCTGGGATATACCCCTCAACAATTGCTGTAACACATGCAGTGAGCAAGTGGGTGACCCAGAAAGTCATTGTGATAGCAGAAGGATGGACCATCATCTGTCTTCTCTTGTCCCCTAAAAATAGCTACACTGCTGTCAGGGACTGATGGTTGCCAGTGTTGTCCAAAAGGGTCACCTCCAGCCCCAGGCTCCAGAGAGCCACTTGACTTAAGCTAATCTGGAGGTATTTCATATATATCACATCATATTACCGTAACACTAAATACATGGGCCACTGGTTTGAAGTTATATAATAAAAATATTCAGTAGCCTAAATTTCTCATAAGTATTTTAATCATACCAGTAGAGTACAACTAGAATGCTTAAGCTTTGAATAAACAGTATACTGTTGAATATGAATATGAATGAATTTGAATAATGTATCTATTGGGTCGTCGAGAAAGTCATGACATATTTTTCTATGTTTTTCAATGCAAAAATGCATCATGACTTTCCCAATGACCCAATATGTAATGTGTGTACACGTGAAGATAATTGAATAATAGATACCCATGACATGGAAGGTTTAGTTACAATTATTATATTGACTTTAAACTATTTAAAATGATTTTGTAAATTATAACCTTTGGGCCAGCCGAGGGACGTGTTTGTTAAGAGTTGGCTTGCAACACCAGCTCTGAGCAGCAGGGGCCTGGTTCCGATCCCACATATGAGGGCCAGTGACACTACGCCCTCTACAGCTAAGATGGTGAACAACAGCTCGACCTGGAGCTGGGCTGCCAGGAGTCCCTGTGAGTGGCCATCCAATAGCTGGCGAGCAACTGCCTCAACTAGTAAGAGCACAATGATAATACCAACATGGGCCAGTGAAGCAACGTCCTCCACAACTAGACTGAAGAACAAAAGGACAGCAACTTGTCTGTTCCCCTTCCCCCAATTCCCCAGCGCTTTCTCCTCCCCAATTCCCCAATAAAATCTTAAAAAAAAATTATACACCTTAATAACAGACAGTTTATACTTGGGTATTTAAAATATAAAATGTGGGGCCGGCCGAGTGGCGCGATGGTTAAGAACTGGCTTGGGACGCCAGAGGGCCCCGGTTCGGATCCCACACATGAGGGCCAGTGACACTGCCCTCCACAGCTAAGATACTGAACAACAGCTCAACCTGGAGCTGGGCTGCCGTGAGTCGCCGGTGACGGTGTAGGCTGCAGCCCCTGTGGCAGTGGGTTGCCATGGACTACCGTGTGTGGCCGGCAGCCAGTGTGAGCGGCCAGCAGCCGCAGTGAGCGGCCGTCCAGAAGCCGGCGACTGATCTGCCTCGTCTGGGAAGAGCGCAATGATGGTGCCAACTTGGGCCAGTGGAGCAACGTCCTCCACAACTAGACTGAAGAACAAAAGGACAGCAACTTGTCTGTTCCCCTTCCCCCAATTCCCCAGCGCTGTTCCCATCCTCCAATTCCCCAATAAAAAATCTAAAAAAAAAATAAATAAATAAATAAATAAAATGTGTACATTTATTTTATTGTCAGAAAATCATAAGTAACTGTCATAGATAGCGCTATCAATTATTGTGCTGTAAGAATTTAAAAGTTATAATGCAAGCACTCTGCTTATTTGAAATAACCAGCTTTGATTTTACTTTTGAAGACTCATGTCCACTGAAACATTTTTATTCTTCAGGGTGAGCTAGAACAAGAAAGGCAGCAGCATGAAGAAATGCTTGCTGCCATGAAAGAAGAAGAGAAGCTCAGAGTGGACAAAATGGCTCATGACTTAGAAATAAAATGGACTGAAAATCTTAGGTACATTTCTTTTTTTTTTTTACTTCGTAATGTAATCTTATCAATACCGGATATGCAGAAAATGTTTTTCTATTCTGTGGCTTATATTGTCTTACTGTTAAAGACGTAGTAGTATTTTTAATGAATTTTTCCCATGACTAGAAGCAGAGAAATTGGAATTTTTTTTCTCGCTTGAATACAGGTTACTTTTTTCTGATTTCATTTCCTTGAATATAAAACAGGCAGAGTACTAACCTGAAGTCAGAAGACTTATTTGTTCTAGTACCTCTTCCGCCATTGATAAATTGATAAATCTGTGATCTTGGGTTAATTACCAATTTACCTTATACTCCCTAACTATAAAATAATCAACTCTTATTCTGAGTTGACTTTTGAGGAAAATTAATTAAATGCTTAGGAAACATGTGAACAACTATACTACAGTTATTCAGAGAAACAATTCCCTTTACAAAAAGTAAATGCATTTGCTTTATTTTAGACAAGAATGTTCTAAACTTCGTGAAGAGTTAAGGCTTCAACATGAAGAGGATAAGAAGTCAGCAATGTCTCAACTTTTGCAGTTAAAAGAGCGAGAGAAAAATGCAGCCAGAGATTCATGGCAGAAGAAAGTAGAAGACCTCTTAAGCCAGGTAATTAGTAGCCTATGTTATGAAGTTTCATTTTCTTTGACTTTCTTTAGCTAGGGAAGTATGATAAAACCTGTGTGCTAATTCACTGTCTTTTGTTATTTTTCATAGGACAAACTTGAAAAAATTTTTTGAAGATCTGATTGGCTTTAATTAAGTGATTCATGAATTGGGCAGCATCCCATGTAACAACTAGAAGGGTGCTTCCTAAAATTTTTAAAATATATATAAATCAAGGAGACATTTATAAACTTTTGAATTGTGGTAAAAATTATGTTTTATATACAGTCCTACATATTGAGAAGAATTTACAGTTTTTTGGTTTAATATTTGAACTGAACACATTAAACATTTTAAATTTAAAAATTACCTGTTTTTTGAAAGTGTAAAATCTGTTTTTCAAGCCAGTAGATAGCATTTGGGCAACAGAAGGTAAAATATATTAACTGTGTTCTAATTGCCTTAAACCATTTACCAGAAGTGAGTAATTTATTTCCTTCTCACCAATAGAATATTGCCTGTTATGCTTCAAAATGACACAAACAAAAGGTGGTGGTATTCCTAATTTTGTCTTCTTACACCATGCCTGCTTATTTCCGGAGCATTTATCACTATAATTAAATGAATTTGCACATCTTCACTCATTTGCACAACTTCTATATTTATGAATTCTTTGCATTCCCTGCAAAGCCAGTAATTAAATAAGACTGACTGCATGAGTCACCAGTTGATAAGCCAGTGCAGAACTTGGACAAGAAGCAGCTCAGTAATTAAGTGCTAGAAATCCACCTTTATCTTTCTATTTGAGATCATGATGAACTTCTAAATAAACAGGATTGACTTTTTGTTAGATAATTTGTTACATAGGTACATACATGCAGTGTCTTTCAAGAGTACTAGGGGCCTGCCAATCTGGTTCTGGTATTTCATAATAGTTCATAATGTCACTGAAAAAGGAGTATGCATACGTGTGTGTGTGTGTGTGTGTGTGTGCGCGTGCGTGTATGCTTTTGTGAATAAATTTGAACCCTTTGAAACTCAGATAAAAGTACGAATAAGGAAACAACTCTCACCAGAAGTTGGGCACCACTTAGGCACCTAGAAGGGCAGGTTTTACTGGATAGAGTGGTGCCACTCCTCTGATTTTCTGTATCTAGGAAGATTTAACTAGTTCAATTATATGACGGTGAAAAACGTCCTTAAAGGACTGTCTTGGTTCTCAATCAAAGAGTATTGAACTTAGATATGTTTTGGCTGGATTTGGCACTGTAAAGAGGGCCCACCACGTTTTCTACTTATTTTCTATTAAATTATTTTATTCATTATTCATTTATTCTGTCTTGTATTCAATTGTCAGATTTCATCCCTGCTTTCCTTCTCTCTCTCTTCCTCTCTCTCTCTCTCTCTCTCTCTCTCTCTCTCTCTCTCTCTCTTTCTCTCTCTCTTTCTTTTTTGGATGTCTGTTCTGCATTGTTCATTCCTGAGAGGACATAATGCTTTGCATCTTATTCTAGTTTTATGTATTATAAAACAGTTTATTACATATTGGCTCCAATTTTTGCCAGCTTTACAGAAATAATTTTTAAATCGGTTTTCAAGGCAGATTAACCATAACTATGAAGATAACCAAAAATTAATTGCCTACAAAGGCAAAACTATTCTGCGCTGCTCTGTGGCATCAGGCCATTTCTGAAAATTCTAATATCTTCCTTTCTCCCCGCTTCTAAAATATACAGGGCATACACATCACTGTAGGTAAACTGGAAATAGCCTTTGCACTCCAGCATTGTCTGTATCTGAAGAAAGTTAAGAAAATAACTGAGCAAAGGATTCCACATTAAAGTAAAAGTGGGTATTATGTTAGCAAGGTTTCACTCCTTCCAGACGTGTGAGGTGACAAAACATGTAGCAGCTTTGCTATGGAAAGGGACTCCTCCTTGGCCCTTTGGGTCTTGTTCTCATGACTCTTGGATGGATTCCTACAGCCTGTGCTCTGACATCTGCGCTAGCACTTTCCACTTGCCTGACTCATGCTAAACGCTGTTCCTCACACGCTCCACCCCCAGCCCTGACCCCTAGAACCATCTCACTCTACTCACTGCTATGGCCTCACTCATCACCCTTATCCCTAGCACTGCCAGCACCGCTCTGCACTTAGGGAAAACAGACCTGGCTTGGGGGTTCAGTAATATTGAAGGAATAAAAGTGGGGAATAGAATTTGAACAGCCAGGGCTTAGGCAGAAACATATATTATAAAAGGTATCAGACGAGCTTCATTTTCACATATTTTGACTACTTCTCAGTGACCTGAACATGATTCTGCTTTTGTGCCTTAGCGTACCTGTATTTTATCCTACTAGAGCAGAGAAGAAATGACACAATTTTTACCCTCCATGAATTTATGATTTAGCAGGAGGAAGGTATGTATACAGATACCTACAGTAGGTGTCACAGTGCAGTAAGTGACTTTCTAAATGACCTGGACCATCTGTACTGTAGGAACCGCGGTGTGCAGGCACCGGCTCCGACCGGATCACAACTGCCAGGTGTGTGCAGTCTTCCCAACCCTGTATTCAGGGGCGTCATATTGGTGGTTTGGAGTCATCTGTGGTGGGGTATTTGCTGCACAGATATCAGCAAATACTACATACACATCAGGGCTTTGCTTTTCAGAGAGCTGTTAAACATTCATCAGCATACCACAGGGAAAGAGACTAGAGTGCAGCGGTTCTCAACCTTCCTAATGCCGTGACACCTTAATACAGTTCCTCATGTTGTGGTGACCCCCAACCATAAAATTATTTTCGTTGCTACTCTATAACTGTAATTTTGGTACTGTTATGAATCATAAGTAAGTATCTTTTTGTTTTCCGATGGTCTTAGGCGACCCCTGTGAAAGGGTCGTTCGACCCCCAGAGGGGTTGCGACCCAGGTTGAGAACTTCTGGTAGAGAAAGTAATATAACTCTTAGCGATTATGATTGGGAAAGACTTCATTGAGGAGATTATCATTAGTGTGACTTAAATAGGGTGAGGGATGAACACAAATATTTTTATTCATTCAACAAACATTTTGTTGAATACATTCTTATTTTCCAGGCATATGAGGAATACAGAAAAACAAGAGGTGGGGGCAGCTTGGGAGAGAGGTCTTTGTGAAACACTTTGACTGCCAGGTTTAGGAGTCCAAAGTTGACTCAATAAGCTCTAAAACTCTGTTTAAGGTTAATGGATAAGGTAATAACATGCTGAGAATTTTATTTTAGGAAGCTTAATATGGCAGTGATACTGAAGTGAGGATGAAATGGAGACACTCAATATAAATATCTAAACTCAAGTGTCTGAAACAGAGCTCTTGAATACACACCATACTCCCCGCCATCACCGCTCAACCTGAGCCAGACCTCTCTTATTATATATTTGTGAGGTTTTTTTTGGTTTTGTTTTGTTTTTAAGCTGAGCCATCCTGCCACCTGTTGGCAGCTCAGTGGCTGCTCAGCTCGGGCCAGGAATCGAACCGCTGTTGCTCAGAGCTCACACTCTTGAGCGAGCTCTTAACCAACTGAGCCACTCGGCCGGCCCCCAGATGTCTCTTATTATAGATGCTGCCATCCATTTACTGCTCGGCCATCTCTGATGCTCTTACACACTGTACCGTGAGCTCATCAGCATGTCCTTCTACTCTGCCCTCAGAGTGCATCCAGGATCTGCCCATTTCTTCCCCCACTGCCATCCTAATCTAAGCCACTTGCGGTTCTCTCCTGCACTGCAGCTGGAATCTACATTTGGTCTCCCTGCTTCTACCCTCCCCCACCCACAAATTGTTTCCATCCAGCCCAAGTGAGGCTCTTAAAATACTAAATCAGATCATGTTCCTCTCCTGCTTCAAACCTTTCAGGGGTTTCCTATAACCTTTAGAATACAATTCACACTCTCCCTACAGCTAGCAGTAGCCTCAGGATTGGCCTCTGGCTGCACTGCCTACATCATTTCTGCCTCTCTCTCCCTTCCTTTTGTCCAGTCATGCTGGACTACTTGGAACACACCCAGCAAGCTCAGTCCACCTCAGGGCCTTTGCATCTGCCGGTCCCTCCACATGAATCACGCTTTCCCCAGATCTATAGGGCTTATTCCTTCACTTTGTTCAATATACTGCTCAAATCTTAACTCTTCAAAGAGATCTTCCTTGATCTGTTTCTCTAAGATAGCACCCTCCATCGCTCTGTGTCCCACAGCCTGCTTTGTGTTTCTTCAAAACATTTATTACTACATGGCATCATATTGATTCTCTTCCCTACTAGAACTTAGTTCCCTGAAAGCTGGATCTTTGCCTGTGTTGTTCACCGTTGCATCCCCAGCGGCTTAAACTGTGCCTGGCACATAATCAGCCCTCAATAGTTGTTGAATAGAGTGAACAAAACCAAAGCACAGCGACCAAAGAGGAAGTTGAAGGGCCTGAATCCCCTCCCTAGAAGTTAAGAGAGCAGGAAATTATGTAGAACAAACCTCAGAGATCCAGCCTGAACCCTGGGAAAAGAGGTGGCTGGGGTAAGGAAAAGGGAAGCCAAAGGAAGAAGCAGGAAGAGTGAAGCGAAAGCGCATATGGAGAAGGAAAAGCCACCTGGGAATGAGAGCGAGATGAGCAGGTCTGACTTCAGCTTTGCTTTCTCAGAAAATGTGGAATGTAATTAAAGTCTACCAAAAACCAACCAACGTCCATTATTCCTTATTCTTCCTACTTCAGTTCCTGGATTCAAAGTTAATTTGCAGTATTTTCCTTAGTAATTATGTAAGTTTGTTTTTCATTTCTCTTTAGTCAAAAAAATGAATTACATCATTACTTCAACTGTATTATATCGTCTTTTATCAGACCCGTGTTGTTGGTATTCTTTCTTGAGATTTTATTGTCTTTTAAGGTAAACAATACTAAATTGTTTTCTGAATTAACTTGCAAATCTAAAAATATACAATTTTCTTTTTCCTACCAAAATCTCCCTTTTTAG